TGCCAAATCTCATTAATGCCAAGATATGGTGTTTGCTTAAGTAGTCGCTGTCGGACCTGGCCCAGAGGGCGAAACAACTTGATCATTTTCACTGTCAACTGAACCGACAAGATTCGAAAGGATTGTGCCTGAGGCCGACTTTGTTACACCAGCTTTGGAGCAGACTGGGTGGCCCCGATGAGCTCCCTGATTCAGGCGTCTGCTGATGTGACTAATGCGTACCCCCACGGGGACGGGTGAAAACGTGATTCGACTCATGGCACAAATGCACGAAATTCATCTCTGAGTTCCAATCCCACGGTGGTTCGGAATGATAATCTAATATTATGTTTAGCCAAATAGAATGTCTTGGTAACCACTGTTATCAGCCTTTGAGTAGCCACCTCTGTGGTTGCGTCCACGGTAAATGTCAGTCTAGCATAGACAGCTCTATCTTCCATGCAAATGGCCTTCCTTTGACCTACTTACATTTGACCTTCCTAACTTGAAAGGAATTTTACCATCGTTTTGTTATAAGGTGTAACGTAGGAACTCTCATTCATTCTGAACCAAATAAACAGAACATATTTATATGTAAAACACACTTTTTCAATGGGGGAACTCGTCGTTTATAGAACAAATGAAGCGTGAACTGAAAAGCTAGAAAGCACGTAGAGCTGTTCAACCTGTTTGGGTCTCGTCAGCAGCGTGAATCCATAAACTCAACAGCCTTCCAACTTCAGCTTCAAGCACCTTCACGCTCTAATGGGACCGAAACTCAAACAGCCTTGTGCTTCCGAGTGCATGGATGGCTTTAAAAATTGATCATTATACTTGAACGGGAAGTCTGAAGGGTGGTAAGTTCAAATCGAGAGTCTGAAAAGTTCCAATTTTTGGATGCGGCATATATGTTGATAGATTTCGATTAAATGTGTAGGAGCTATCTCCCTGGTTTAGCAATTTTTCAGGGTAACCTTAGACAGGTTGAATGCAAGACAGACAGATACGTGATGTTGCATTCCCTTAAATTTCAGTTCCCCCTATTAGTATAATCAAAGCCTTATCTTCATTGACAAAAGAATAAAAATTTTCCGCGATAAAATTAAATTACTTTTTTGCCCCAGAGTAGAGTGTCTTAAAGAGTCTAAACTCACTTTGACCTGACATGAGGTGCACAAAGCAACTGTCTGACTTGAACATGAAAAAAGGACAAAGTAAACTCTGCTCGCTTCCGGGGCTTTGAACAAACATTCGCCCCAAACCGAACACTTTTTGCTGGCTCAATCAACAACAGGTGGTAGGCCGAGGACGGGAGCAACTAAATTTCTCAGAAATGCCTATCAAAAATGGAAATCGGACCCCATTTCATCTCGGTCAGCGGGGCTGTAATCAACACGCATTGATTGAGATAAGATTAGTCTAACGCAGAAAGCATACCGCTTGATTATTCATGAAGTATTTCTCAAACAAGGTTTTTCATTCATCACATTAGCGCATCCAGATTAATCACCATCGATGCTGCAGTCAACTAGAACTCGTCAGAAGCTGCTTCGCCTTACTTGCATAGCAATTTCTTCATTTGACTACACAATCACCACTTACATCCAGATTTTGCTCACATGTGTCGCACCGACGTTCTCTAATATAGGGGGTTCCCCACCTGTGGTTGAGATGCATCGCTTTTGTACTCCATTTCGGTTATCAAAAGATACTGATCTACCCCCATATTCGAAATTTTTCAGCACAGACGAACGAAAACATTGTCTTTTCTTATGACAATATCATTCATGTGGTAACCGTTCGGGGCTTGAACTTTCATCCCTTTGGTCGGTCGGATTTTGTGTGTCCAAACAGTTTAGGGGTCTGCAGCATGAATACAGAAATCATTCTGTTTCTGTGATAAATGACTGACTGACCACACCTCTTGTGTGATTGTTTACCACAGATCACGTTATTCGCGTGCTTCGTCTAAACGGAAATCATTTCAGACATTTTCTATATAGTTCAAACCTACTGCACGGTACTTAATGAGATATGACACTTGCTTACGGGTTTCTTCCTCTATCAACTTGGCGCTTTCTGACAGATAGCATTCTTTTGCAGACATTTGCACGAACCCTGTTCGCATCTGTGTTCGGTGGGCCGCCCCCCCCCTCCTTCGGTCACTTTATTCGAATGTACTTAGGATCGTGGATGGTTAATCTAGGACATTTCCTAGTACATTCATTATTTGCCAACCACGTGGCTTCATTGGCCACACACACACACATACATAGACCGAACAATTTCATCCGCGGACAAAACGGATCGTAGAATTGCCACTTTTCGGAATAACCTGTAAGTGGAAACGACTGGTGTCGATTTATTTTACTTTTTGATTTGTTCCATTTCTTAAGTATGGACTTCTGCAAGAGAAAAATTTAAATTATTCATTTTATTACCGCAAGTTATCAGGTTTTGAATTTTTCTGATACAATTACCAGCAAAATGAATCGAGGCGTATGCCAGCATGTCGAATATCTTATCCAGTTCCTCCGTAGGTCAAATGTACTTGTGTGCTCTCTTTCCTGGGTCCGGGCGGTTCAATGGATTCACACGGCTGTTGATGCAGAGAATTAACAAGGTCAGAACAGCTGTTCTGTTCACAATTCGGTTGTTCCGTACAGGGCAAAATTCATCATGACAAAAAAAAACGTTCTGTCCACATCGGAATGGGACAGCAGCATTATTCCACATTTACTTTCATCCGGGCATTTCTATTCCAACCGTGTATATCCACACAATCACCTCATTTCATCACATGGCCTCCGGAATAAGGGACCGCACTATATTTCGGACGTTTTTTTTGTTCCAGAATCAAATACTTTGAATAACGTATTGAATCTCCATTGCAGTTGGAAAATGATTCCAGCTAGGCAACACCTTGTGCTGCACTGTTGTATTCATTTAACTTATGCTTATTGAAGAAAAAGTCCGTACAATTGCTTTCAGTGGAAACAAAAATGGGAAATTCCTAATCGGCAATTATTTTTCAACTGATGTACTTCCCCGAGTACGAATTATGATATTGCATTGAAGCACGCTTGTATTTGACTCCGTGATGTGTGTACACTCACGTTTCAACTTAAGATTTCGAAGCAATAATGAACTAAAGGTTTTGAAAGATGAACCAAAAATAAATGAAAAGATGTTTAATCTACTTCATTTTCAAAATTTGCCTTTTTCGCTCGGTGGGATGCATAGCAATCTGATGGACGTATAAAGAGGCTAGTGAGTGGCAAATATTGGGCCTCTTTACAACATGGAAAGGCAAACGATTATTCGATTTCACTTGTTCGCCGAGCTCGGCAATTTGTTTGCAAACGTTTCATCAATAGCCGAGGTGACATCGTCAGTGAATGTGAAGTGGTAGTGTTCTGCTTGTGTCCATTGGTTTATAAATGTGATCTTCGCCACCGATTTGTTCACACTGTGTTCGACTTAGTTCGCCGTTGAACTAGGAAGTGAAGATGAAAGAAGGGGGTTGTTCTTCCCTCCTGATTGCGGTTTCCGTCCGTTCTCAGGTCACGCCGTGACCTTTTTATTGTCATTTGATCCTCTAGTTGCGTTGGCGTGTACAGCTGATCCAGCCCGATGTGCCTGTTCATTGAGTTAATTGAAGAGTGCCTAGCTTCGATGAATTCTCTGGTGTGTTGTGACCGGGCTTGGTCGATAATTTTCACTGGTCTGAAGTCAAACTGATGTCCTTCTTGATCTTTCTGCAGGGAAATCAACGATAGTGGGTCATGTCTCCTGACTGCTGATTGGTGTTCACGGATCCTTGTCCAAAATTTTCTTCCAGTTTGTCCGATGTAGCGTTTAGGACAGATCTTGCACTCTTCAATCTACTCACTAAATAGGCACATCGAACTGGATCAGCTGTACATACCAATGCAACTCAGGGATCAAATGACGCAACCCCTCTCCTCTCACCCTCACTCCCCAGTTCAACGGTGAACCGAGTCAAACACAGTCAAAACAAAGGACAAATGTAATCCGTGGAGAAGAACGCATATATAGAAGAACGGGTACACTCAGTACGCTGTTACTTCACATGCACCGACGATGTCACCTCGGCTGTTGATAAAACGTTTGCAAACAAATTGACAAGCTCAGAGAACAGGCGAGAAGGAATTCAGTTCACTCGGGCAGCGAGAACCGATTTTCTATAACTTGGCAGCAAACGAATATATCGCAATTATAAGGATAGCCGAGCGTTCAGGAACCTCATGGTCAAAACATTCTTATAACGCATTATTCGAAAGTTATACAACTTTGTGATTAGAGCATTCACATGAATAGATAAAAACCGACAATGCTAATAATAAAAATCAAGGAATAAACAACATTTGATATCTTGGAGGTATTTAAAAAGAGTTCCTCGATCACCAGTTAAGATCTGTCCTGTTTTTGCGAAAATAAATGTTTTACGAATCGATCGGGAATGAAACATTTTGGGTAAAATGCCTTCGATACGAAGCGAATGCCGGAAACCTTCGGAATGAGTGTGTTATTGCATTTGTTTCACGGAACTCTGTTTGTCTTGTTTGTAATTATAGGCGTATTTCGTTTATGCTGTAACGCGCAGAATACTGATGCGAACACAACACTGCACTGTGTTAGAAGGTTGTATATCAAAGCTGATTGGTCGATCAATCATCTGACTATTATCATGCGTCGTTTGTTACCACATATGAGACTGAGCCTAACTTGGAAACACTGCGGCCTGGGGACTTCACACCACGTAACTCCACCAAACGGCGAAAAATGATATCGTTTGCGGGGGTGGGAAAAACCCAAATTGTAGATTTCTTGCGCTCAGATGAACGAGGTAAAACAAAAAGTAAAAGAAGCAAACACTTTCATGCATAAACCGGTTTGTTGCAGCTTGAACAGTCTAAATAATATACCTCATATGTGTCGATTAACAATCTTATACCAGTCTCTGTTAGCCCATTAGGAAGGAGGAGGATAAAACGTACCGTTTCCACATACGTCTTGTTATCGAACTGCAGTCGAACGGGCACTGGATTCGTGCCTACCTCTTCCTCAGTCTTTACGCTTTCACCGTTGCCAGTCATCAGGACCGGTTCCACAGCAATGCGAATGAAACCACAAACCCGACTGTGCTCATCCACAATCGCGACACGTTGAACAAGGGCGGTGCCAAAGTATAAGTTACTCAAATAGACGAAGGAACTGAAATAAAAGGGATGTTAATTTATGAACGGTGGGGTGAACGGGGAGGGTGGAGATGGAGGAGTTTGAAGTTAGTGCACTGAGTGAACCTCAGGTGACACGTTTAGGGTGTCCCTTATGATTAATAAGCATGTCGATTTCTTATCAAATCAGATTTACACACATGTGGTCATTTGTGCGATTCATCAAGAATGATCAAGTGCCACTATCCTTTGTCGACATTCAAACGACGAGACTGGAAACTCCGGCCTAAGTTAAGATCATTTCTTGAAATGCTCGGCAGTATACGTCAAACTGTAGTACATTCAATAACTTATTCATGTTTCTTAAGTCTATCTTCAGCAATAGGAAATTTCAATTGTAATTTTTACGTAGAATAATTGTCCTGTTACTCCAAAGAGTTGCTTTTTGTTTAAAAGCAATCATTTTCATTGGTCTATGGAATATGACTGCGTGTTGTTGGTACAGTGAACATTGGAATTCCTAACCCGATTCAGTGAACACGAAATAACACATGGTGGCTCAAAGTATTCACCTGGTAGTGTTCATATATACCATGGTTAATTACCCATGCTTAGACTATTTCACTGTTCTGCTATTCACCTCACATTTGTCAGTTTTGTTCACTGTTTCGTTTCACTTGCTTTTCTGTGTGATTCAGTGACGAAAAGATTGTGTCCCTATATAAAAGGTGTTCTAACATCGTGGAGTGTATTACTGGTAGAAATGAGATCTAAATCTCTATACTCCACCAAAACCTTGGTTCCTCCCATGCGTGTATTCAGAAAATCATGAGTGAGAATTAATTATATGAGAATTGGTCAATCGCTTTTGAATGCTGTAACGATAAACCAGCTTGCTTATATATGAGTTGGATATATCTGGCCTTATATCTGAAAGCACAGATGGTACTTGCAATGGTCTAAAAATACTGTGTTCCGTGCCGGAAAACCAAATGCGATTTACTTGTAGTTTTCGCGTGAATGTTTAGATCGTGTGATGCGGTGCATTGCGTTTGTTGATGGGAGCACAGGATTAAAGGTAGAGATGTGGCACAAATTTCGCCTTCAAAAATCTCCGCCTATTAGAACTTCACGAAAATGAATACGCATACTAGAATGCAATTCGGCATGATGGGCTTTCCGGTCACACATCACAACACAGCCCAGTCTAGGAGGAAAGGAGAATAAAATCACGTGAACAGGGGCTGTAATTCACATGTGGACTGATCGAAAATTTAGATTCTCTGAACTGAGTGAAAGCACGGCATCACTGCAAACGGCTAGTTATAGTGCAGTCTCCTCAGTTATTTTGGGATCATCGATACTCTGTTGGATGCACCCAACGGGACACATCAAAAGCTATGCGGATATAAATTGTGCAGTGCGATTTCATTATGGAAAAGAGTTGTTTCAACTTCCTCTCTGACTCCTTTTGCAATATAGTTGGTTCACTTTCAACGTTCGCAAAACTTTACATATCCCAACCTGAGACGGGACTGTTTGACTACCCTTCTTTAACTTTTTACGATATTTCAAATGCGAACTCATCGTGCAAATAGCAAATGAAGCGTGAACTGGTATTGGTATGATATTGTTAGATGCTATCCATCCATATGGCGGTGATAGCACTCCCGCTGTGCACAGTAGGACAAAAACTTGACGCGATCAGTTAACTATCGATCCCCGCTCGTGCTGGCTGGGCAAATGACATGTCCATTTTGATCTATCCTGTAGACGCAAAAACTGGAAGCTCTATCCACGTCCTGTGAAATCAATCAGGTTTAATTTTTGTGCAATGGAGAAGATAAAATAGTCATTCCAACCACATGACAGCATCTACCCATATTCTCTGACCGAATGGAATCCCGCAGATGGAAGTGGCTGGAAATTTTGAACCCAAATGGGATGGCACTTATTTTGCTTCAGTATTTTCAGATATGCACAAGCCCCGTACCAACATATACCACTCTGTTTCCTAAATGAATGCATTGCAGTATATTAGCCTGGATTCTTAAACTGTGCGTTGCTGATATAGATAACCTTTTCAGTTATTTGGTAAATTGAAAGATATACAAATGATTCATTGATTTAATTCACAATCGGCCCAATTGGAATAACTGAAACTGTATCGACTGTTACACTTTGTATATGCATTGAAAGCTTCAAAAATTGTTTAAGATGGAAAATTTAGTAAAGTTCCCGGTTTAAAACATAAAAAATGCGTGCCTATGTGAATTTCTCGGAACCTCTAATAGACTAACAGTGTTCCTTATGTCCACTAAACTGACAGCTTTATCAGTATATTCGCATAATGCCCGATAGTGACAAATATTTTGAACCCAAACACAAACAAGTAAAACTTACCGTCCAATGAGACGGAACCAAGGTACTCGTTCTTGAAATGGATCTCGAATATCCGCCTCCTCATCCACATGCCCGGAAATCTCGGCCATCGGTCCAGTGGCAGCTCCGGTCTCTTCGCAACAGCTGGGCCCGTCCGGTTTTGCTGCCGGGGAGAACTCAGTTTGCGCTTCATAGTGTTGGCGCATGCGTATGAGTCGCTTGCTGTTGCGCGCGCGCATACACGTGGGGAAATTGGATTGAAGAAAGAAACACAACGAACCTGAGAAAGATGAACCTAATTAACATCATTGAACATAGCTCGGGAAATGTTCGCAAGGTTCAATGTGGCTCGCAGTGGCTAGTTCTATAAAACTTCATAGTTCTGTGTAATAAACTTATAGAGACCATACCATATTTGATCACATTTGTTATATTGTTTCTCTTGCCACATCAGTCAACTTGGTATGGTTCGAAATGCACTTCACAGTAGAAGTCAAGGAAGACAATCACCCGTAGTACTGAGATGTCTATTTGACCAGAACTCCAGAGAGATCAGTATGAAGAAGGAAATACCGTGAGAAAACATAAATTGACCAGTATACAAATTTTCATAGCTTTTTACCTCTTGGTTACATGCGTAGTTCCGATGCGCTGTTTCACACACTGAGCGGGTCGAGTATTATCGAAATCGAAAGGATATTTCGCTTTTGTACGAAAATTGTCGGTTTAATCTATTAATTTTATCAACTTGGGTTCATATTAAATTCTGGTTTACTAATTTTTGTTTCATATACTTGGAATCACCTCAATCGTTGTTTCACCATTTCATAATCTATGTGACAATGACAAAACTACCTCATTTGATGCGTTGTCTTTTCTCTGATGTAGAAGTTACTCAACTGTCTGAGAGTAGGAATCTTTAGCAGGCGCATCGAATCATGCGTAGGTGTTGACAGTTATGCAAATGAGAAATCTCTTGTCTGATGTCACCAACTCAAACAGTGCGTGAAAAAATCATATCTTCATCCACCATACCAAAACGTTTAGTAAAATGAGGCGCATTCTAAATGAGATCAATGCTCCTTGTGAAAAGTGTGACAGTGGGAGCTGGTCCGCAATGATAAAAAATAATTTTTTTATGCTCGATCCCTTAGGTCTGGGCTAGATACTCGGCAAGAAACGACCAGAAACCGAACCGCTGGCGTCCACGCATACAGCCTACCGGTGGAAGGGGGAAACACGATTCTGAACGCAACATGATTAATTCTGGCACATTTGGATGAGATCGAAGTTTAATGCTGTGTGAACAGTGTATTCAGTAGGCTGATTTAAATTACCAGTCCGGAAAAATCGAACGTCTAATCTTTTCTCTCCATGCACTATCATCTATTTTTGCACAGGACTGCACGATTACGCTCGCATTCCGTGACACATTTTGTCCTGCATATCCCATCTGTACGTTAGCATTCTTATCACATAATCCGAACGTCGAAGCGTCAGATTGTAAAGCGCATGACGAAACCAGTCAATCAATTCTAATCACTCGCCGAGTGAAACTGAGGAACCAGTGCATAGGGAAAATACAGGCACCGATGCACTCACTAGCAACGTTTTGCTTACAAAATCGCGATGAGTGTTAGTTTGCACGAGTTATTTATATTGACTGTTACAGACATGTTTATGAAAGCATTGATAGATTTTGAGTCAAACCATCGATAAATCCAAGATCAGCATCCAATAAATATGCTTAAACGTAATCTAATTATATTGATACCTGGATAGAAGTATCCAACACAAAAACGGAAACGGTTACTGACCACCTTACACTTGTCGGGTTAGGATTCAATGAAAGTAGAGAAATGAGGGAAATACCAAATTCAGCTATTCACTAGAAATAAACATGATTCTGGTGTCGCGGTTGCTAAATCTCAGTGTATATCCTTTGGGCCCCAGGATTTTGTGGTTGCTTTTGTTCACGGATTCAATCAGCTAACGCGGAGGTTACGTTCAGTCCACTAGTATGACGAAAGTTCTCTAGTGTATTGTCATGTGAATAAAGTAAATCGCATCATTGTAATGATTGAAATTCAGTGGGATGAAAGGGTTGATAAACGTCTATCAGAACCATTCACAAGCGTCCATGAGAACAAATCGGTATCCAGGATATTGAAAAATAGTGAAAACGTTCAGATTCAGTCATGATTCTCGTGTGCCATGAAATTAGTAAGTGAAGTAAAACCCACGAATAGCGGTACGCTACTCATGAGTAGATAGATTGGGAAAGTGATAAAACTGATAAAAGAAACGAGACGTGAAACTTCATTCATTCATACATTCTTTAACCGTAAATTTCCAAATAACAGTCAAGTTAAGCTTCATGCCCCGATGGAATGAGCTTTCAGCAATGACTTAAATTTGACTTAAATTTAAGGAATACGCTTTTTGCATGATTTTTTATTGAGATCAAAGTCAAATATTAGGTAATCACGTATAGATGATTTCCATAGGTAATCTTCACGTTCTGAAGTGATGATTTGACTATAAATTCTAAATGTTAAAGATTTTTTTCTTAAGAAGGTATTGTCTACAGAGGCTGATAAACATAACACCTACCGAGCCATTCAATTTTTTTAGAATGTGTTCGAGTGAAAATGCTAAATTCCAATAAATTTTGATGTACGTAAAACATTTTCGAAGCGTAAACGAAGGACAAAGCTGAAAATACAATTAATTCATAAAGTCAAACGATCAATATAATGAACAAATTAGCGTCCATTCATATTAGTTTGTTCGAAGGATGCTTCTTTCATTCGCTATCTTCGTTGACTGCAAACCGAAACTTAAAATTTGTGCTCAACCGCATCAGGAGATGNTTCACGTCTTATGTGAATAAGTACGGATGTTCTGAGAGTAGTCAAATTAAACCTTAGATCATTACTGATTTTAAAAGATTTTTGTCAAGAGCTGTAATTCAAACCAGTTGTGTTTAGGTAAAATATTGATGAAGTTTTATTCCCATTTTAGTCATTTTGGAAAATCGCTATCCCGTTTTCCGTATATGCACTAAACATTTCTGTGAAACGAATACAGTACGTTTGACGACACCGAGCTAACTATCGTTTTTTTCTATTTTAAAGCGTGGCGTACCGGAATCGTTCCAAACTCCAGTAGTGGCGTGCTCCACTGTTCAAATCATGCACTTCAATTGCCACCACGGTACGCTTGCGCATGGGGCCATCCCCGCCCACAGATGCGCTCAATGGAGCAAATTCCTCGCTGGACCGAAACAGTGCCAATCCTCTGCGACTTAAATGCATAGTGCTAACTGGAATCGCGTTTCCTGGTCGCTTTGGCTGTGGTGTCCGATTCTCAAGGGTTGCATTGCGATTGTCCATTGTATCATTCGCGTAAATGTTCTTGTCTGCGGACGGACTCTGTAGTCGTGATTGTGTCAGGTCGAGGGAGAGGGGACTGTATGGCGTGTCGGTGAGCAAAGCGAACTGGAAGCGAATCTAAAAATCAAAAGTATATTTGATAGTGGCGATCAAAAGATTGCCTGTCGTGTATCATCTGATTACTTGAAACATCTCATTGTGCGTGGTTAGGGATATGGATAGGCAAGCATCTAATCTTTTGGATGGGAGCAATCAAAACAACAACAAAACAACAAACAATCTAGTATAAATGCTAGATCAGTGAACATAATCCAACGATATAGTCCCAATAATGTCCGGCTATTCATTGCTCCGACAGAAATAATATGGTGGATTGATGGATTTTTTCCCCGTTCCTTACAAATGTTGCCAAAAGTGTCCAGTAAAGTATGTTATTCATTGGGTTAAGGCTTTCAGAAGTTTCACAAAATATGCCTAATATGCAATGGAGGGTTCTTGGATACATCACACTCATTCATCATTGTGGACAAACATTACTCTAATTAGTGGGTGTTTATTCGGCACGATCACTTGGTCCATGTGTGACTGTAATCAGTGTTGACGTATGGCCCAGGTAGGTTATCTTCCATTTGATAAGGTGTACTGATCTGACAGGTTGTCACATGTGCAAACATTCATCGACCAATCCGATCCGCATATGTTTGGTGTTAATTGTTTCGGATTCGGATTCGACGTTTTTTTTTGTTGTACGCTGAACGATTGGAATCTGGTTACCAGAGATCTAGGGTTCATCATGGACCCATTTTTATGATGACTTGCAAACATTTTGCTGATAAGCTACTACACCCTCAAATCGGAAAGCTGATGTTAATTGGGTGCATCATTCCATGACTTTGTTTCCAGTCAGGGTTTTATGAGATTTCACCTTTTACCTGTGATTTCTTGTTAAAATTAACCTTGGTTGCGCAGTTGTGAGTCATATTTCCCCTATTCTCACGAACTTATAAGTGGCGAATTTGTGCGATATTCTTATAAAATGTATGATCCCACAGAAGAGTTTCTGACTCTGACCGTTCGCTTGAACTACATTAGCGGTAGCATTTCTCCGAGTACGATGCCTCTCATTCTTTCAGCAAAGGTTCTGACTAGTCCCCTCAAGTAGGCCATCGATAAGAAACTTTTGAAACCTGCCGACTACTCAGTTTGCTTTATTACAGACAAATTGAGATAAGGAATCATCAGTGCGTCTTCTGCCTAGGATAGCCCTGAAAGCGAAAGTCATTTCATTTTCATACTAGTTAGAGAAAACATGAGGGTTTTATGCAAACCGTTTGATCCCTAATGAATACGTGATACTTGCTCCAGGTCCTTGCACAAAATTAGCATGTCTTCCTTCCAACTGCTGTGCAGCACTACACCAATTCTGAGTGGTGATGTTTCGTCTAATGAATTCTTCATTATTGATCTTTAAACAGATATCAGCAGTTTTCCCATGCTTATGTTGTTTTGTTGAATGTCGTTCAATCGGTATTGAATACACCGACTATGCGTCATCTAATGTGACTGACGACCCAAGGTTATGGTCTCGACTCGTTAGGGAACAACGATCGGGGACTATAAATGAAAGCGATAAATTCATGGGTGTCTTTTTGTCTGTGTGAATCGTCAGCCTTGTGCGAATTCACAGGTGGGTGCAGTTGTTTAGACTACCCTTATAAACACTCGGTGAGATTGAATACAGAGAATTCATTCCTCGAATTTATGCAAAGAGAACTTTGAATAAATTTTAACCCTAAAATGATACCATGTTCCGTTTGTCACGAATCTTTGCATACCAATTTCGTTTATGCTGTGGTTACTAAACCAGCAAACGATTCACGTAAAGTCAGAGATATCGTAATAATTTTACGGTAGCAAGCTTGGATTAACCCATTCTATTGTTAGGGGGCACCAAAGAGTAGCTAGTNCCTCTTAACAATCGAATGGGTTAATCCAAGCTTGCTACCGTAAAATTGATTCAGTCATTCGCACAAGGCGATGACCGTCGACCGTGTGGCTCAGGGGTAAGGATTTGAATTCCAAACCCAAATGTTCGCGGTTCCAGCCGTGATAGGGATACAAACATTACGCACTGCTGACGAGTCCCAAACAGGACGGAACAGCTGCTCGGTGCTCTTGTCGTTTATCACAAACATTTCCGTTGCATATATTATAGTAATGTTGATGATGAACTCCTCGTGTAAATGAGGCGTGAGCTGAAAAACTGGAAAGCACTGAACATCGATTTCTACCTGGTTTGGTTTCATCAGCCGTACGGATCCATCGACCAAGCTGAGCATCAAACGCGGGACGTCACAAGTAGAACGTAATCGTAGTATCCAATCTCCCATTACTGTTATATATCATAATATTTTAAAGTAGTGGCAATTACTGCAGTCGTTTCTGGAAATGCTTGCAAATGAACATGCGCCCTGAAATTCAACGCTCAGCAACATGCAAGTTAGATTTTACAGTGGGCTGACATACGGCTGGCGCTCATTGATGACTAGTTTATCAATGTTTAGATTTTAAACTTTCAATAGACTTCAACGATACCGGTATCCTTATGGAAACGAAAAGACCGATAGAATTAACTTTGTTCAGCTCACACTAATGTTTACTACATCGGAAGAATAATCGAATCGCCACTTGGCATCTATCGGAGTGTTTATAAAAGTCATTCATAGGGCATCGCTTCAACTACCAGTTGGAAGCACAAAACTCACTTGTTTATCAAGCTCCACACTCAATGCATTCGCTTCCTTTACGTAGATAGCGTTTTCCCAAAGTTGGTCCTGAATGAACGAGGTAAAAGTGACATTTTCATATGACATACCGGAAAAGCTCTTCGATCAGATGCGATTTAACAAAGAGATTAATATGCAAACCAGTACAAAGACAGAAAGGTTTACCGACAATTGGATCGTGAATCAGGAACAGGGTATGGTTGGTGTGATATGTTGCAAATTCTAACAGTCGCTCATTCAATTGCGTAACAGCGATATTCCCTCATCAGCATGGCGATGAAGCTGGCTTTTTGAGACATCTGTGTTGTTAGCTTGAAAATTCAGTCACGTTAGTAGTGAAATGAACTGAAGCAGGAAACTGATAGAATTTTATGGTTTTATCGCCCATGGTTTAGAAAAGGTTTCGTTTCCTGCTGTTAGTGCCCGCTGAGATGTAGGAAATTTCATTGAACACCAACCACTTTAGCTTAATTGTTCATCAGGGTTCCATTCCCACTTCGAAACGGATAGGTATACTGGCAAAAAACAGAGCTCAAATCTACCACAACCGCAACTATCATCGGTAAATACTATTGTCACCTAAATACGGAAGAATGACGGAGAATTCCTTTGTGCTCACATCGGGAAATTGTGTTTGGTGCCTTCAAAGAGTCGCAGTTTGTGTGGCAAAAGACCTTAACAGTATGTGTTCAAAATTTTGAAAAAAAGCAGACNGAATACTCATCTCAGTGGTCTGAGATTATGAAGCAAAGTCCACGGATTTAGCGGGTTTCGGCTCTGAACCACAATTGAGATCCAGATCAACTCCCCTCGTTTGTATATTTGTTGGACAACTGTTTATTTGATTTCTGCTTTCTCTAATAACCATTCAAGCATCTCTAATGAATAAAACACCAATTCTTTATTTGTTGTTACTACCTCTATTCTAAATCGAAGGTGGAAAGTTATTCGGAAAAAACCGTTTGTTGCAGGACTTTCAGTACACCGCTGGTTGATGAGAGTAAATAGATTTTTCTTCCAAATTAGTCTCCCCAGATGCGAGTAGAAATCATCGCTGTGAATGAATTATAAATTTCGACCAATCTGACTTCAGATACCGCTAAATTGATACACCTCCAGTAAGTTAAAAGACTATGATATACGCAAATTGTTCAACCTGTTTAACCCTAACTGAAGGACAGTTCGCTTCTTTTCTGTTTAACTCAAGTTGTATGTGAGCCTATTCCGATCCTCGCCTTTGGATTGCTGGAGACGAGAAGAATAAGATCTGAGTCAATCCCTTCAATTCACTCTAAATGGTGAGAACACAGAACTGCATAAATCGAATTGTGTTTTTCTGTTTGAAGTGTGTTTCTCAGCCAGAGCTCATTCATTTCGAAAATCTGGAGCCCAACAAACGTCTCTTATTATAAAAAGAAAGCTTTTCACAAACTAACTGACAATTACCGCTTGTGTTTCCGCTGAGCCCATTCCACTTGGTAACAAGAAAACCGAAAGTTATCTGATTATACACGATTTTCCAGTAATTATATTATAAATGAAGCGAACGTATTATAGCCTGAACATGTCACCTCGTAGTTGGGTTCCAATTTTCAGTTAATAACTAAGTGTGCATTTGCGGCACGGCGAGAAATAATCAATGAACAGTGAAAAACGTGCCTGCTATATTAGTCCTTATAGCTTCGCATCCCGCCCCCCACAGCTTAGAACCAAACGTTTGAATTAAATACAGTGAAAAGCCAAAACTGCGAATAACTAGATCGTGTATGTCAAACAAATTTGACTTTTCATGGAGGCAGCTTATCCGCATATACAAAATTTTGTCAATCATTCAACAAGTGCACTGGGGATTTGTGAGTGGTAACCTCTACCATACGCACGCACAACTTGTTGATCGCTGCAGAAGGTTGGTTCTTTGAGTGAACGTTGGGGTCGCAATGCAGATGACCGCATAAGCTGAACGCTAAATGTAGTGATGCTTAAGCATATAGTGTTACAGTAAAACGGCTATTTACACTTCTCTAAGGCATTTTCTCGCTATCTACCTCATGTAGGAAACTGGAAACAAGCAAAAATGACTGTCGCTGTCCGTGTACTTAGTCGAAGCAGAGACCTAAAATTACAGTGTCTATCAGGAAGATATACGCTAGCCAATGTAGCTCCAATTCCAGCATAGCGACTTGTGCAACATGTAACACATCATTAGACAAGCTTTGTAAGTGGCTGGTTTAACAGCCCCCAACGACCAATATTATACAGGAGGAGGTCCAAAACGTCCCAATACTGTAACCATTGGTTACTGCGATGTGTATTATTTACGTCAAGCAATAGGCGATCGAATTTCCCAAGTAGTCCCATTCAGAGCTCAGCAGAACTTAAAACTCGACGAGTATCTACGAGTTACGGAGAAGCGTAATGCTGATTAATTTTTTGTTCAAAATAAATTTCTGTGTTTTCGCTTCCGAAGAATGAAAAATCTTTTTAATATCTGATTATATTTGTTACACAGAGTAGACTGCCACTTAACCTCAACTAACGCGGAAAGAAACATCATACACGTCATAAACACGACTCCAATTTATTCAACCATATCAAACAACATGTCCCGTTTTATCCATTCTAATGTATCTAGCAGATTCATCCATTGGTTTATTGCTCCTAACGAAGGAGCACCACTCAAACTCACTCGCAATGAAGTGAACTGATGATTGCGCCATTTCTCGAATGCCCAATGAGCCAATTCATACTCCCGCTCTGCCCAGGCACATTCACCTAGAAAAAGGGGAATGAGAATCGTGAAATATTTCGCGGGTTGTCGCAGGAATGTAGTAAATGTAACAATTTCACGTTCGAAGCGAGGAATGTCATTTCAAGTTGTGAATCCCGAAATGAAAATCGGAACGAACAGAAATCATGCCATTCCGTTCTTTGTGGGAGCGTTGTAGTTTCTGTTGTTGGCCAGACTGTGATTTTAAAATTCGTTTTATTTTCATCTCGGAAGGAAATCATTTCGATATTAAATTTCCCTACATAGTTCGGAGAGGTGCAGTTTCATTTTAGGCCTCGAATTCTTAGAGGATGTTGCACTTGTTTTGCACTTTTAAAACTGTAGAACCCGTACACATTCTATAGTTAAACAATCCGTATGTTTGAAAATACACTACTTTTTTCTTAGCCTTTCACAATAACGTATAATGAATTTCCTGATCACTTTCGAACGACTCGTGAATCGGTTTTCTTCAAGGGATGCTACTTTTTGGAACTTTGAAATGAGCTCCAATTTTACTCACCGACTCGGCCGTAACACTTGTCGTAGCCCTGACCGTCATTCAATTCGACCCCTTTTATCTATTTTAACCACCAATCATGATATACGGTTCCATTGAGAGGCCTCTAAACCGATTTTGTTCAGCTCCACTCTGTAGAAATTT